TGTTAGATTTTTCCTAACGAAAAGTCAAACAAAGAGGGGCCTAGCTCCGGCCTATTCCGCCCCCAAATTTTGGTCGATCTGAATTTTGGTTGCGATCTTCCAGGATACGAATATCGTTATCCATTGCTGCATTGTTAACGTTTTTATTCGTAAATCCTAGCATATATTCGAATACATATCCTAATTATTTTTGTAATATATTCGGAAATATTCATAATTATTACAAACATTCATAATTATTGCGAATATTCGTAATTATGAAAATCATGCCCTCTAAAAGTATATTTTGTTTTGAAATAACGCCCATGCGCGTCCCGAAATAACGCGTATGTTTTTTGACTTTCATAATAAATACTTGCACGTGATAATCGTGAAGAATCTTCACGGTTATCATGTGCATGTGAAGATTGACTAATACAATAAAAAAAACTCATACATTATCACTGCATAAACTTCTTATTATGTCAATCGAGAAGGTTCTTTACGATTAAAAAATCGATCTGTAATTTCGAAATAGCGCGCAGGTATTCAAAATAACGCGCAGATGCTCGTTATTTCAAGAATTTACGGTAATAATTATGAATATTCGTAATAATCATAAAGATGTTCAGAAATACATTCCCTAAAAAAATATTAAGGGAAATACTATTTGTACACTACATGTCTGTACACGAGCATGTTTATGAAACAGACAGAAAAAATTGTATAGATTATAAACATTACTAACCCTAAATTTTTTTTGTTCAATGCTGCACAAATTTGTAATCAATAAATTAATACTATTAATACTAATACTGTACTGTATACATACACTGTGTTTGTTGAGTTTTTTCTAATAAATATTACGTATGAATATTCATAATATTTTCTAAGTATCAGATATAAATAATTACGAATATTCGTATGTAATAGATACTAATAGTTGAGTGAGAAATCGAATTTATAAATTTATATGCGGAAATTTTTTTTATTTTTTTTCGACTGGAAAAAGTGTAATGAAATTATTTACGCGTAGATACTATTATATAATTTAACGGTAGATATACACTATATATTATATAATTTAACGAATTTTCTTCTTTGCTTTAAATTAAATTAATTAATGTATAAAATGTATGCAGCATTTAACGCATTTAACAGGTAAATTGTATCTGACAAGTCAGCAATTGTTTCCCTTATCGTTATGCAAAGCAAAAACGGACTTGTGGTTGATATCCGGGATATTTTTTAATAATATTTCGCGTACTTTTATTCGACAGTTCAGATTATTTGTCGTTACGTCGGGTTAACCCCGGAGGTCGATCCCTAGGTCCGCTTTTGTTTGACATAAGGGAACCCTGTTGTATCGATTTTATCTTACGAAATACATGAACTATGAAAGTTTTCAAATCTATTTTTCGAAAATTTTATAGCCTTTCGCTTCTTATCGATAATATAATTTATATTTCGACAATTTACAATGGTATATTATCTTTTCAATTTTCTTCAGCGATAATTTCTAAAAATTATTATGAACTTTTACCGTTTTATTTACTTGTATATTTTTTAAAAGAGCTCTTCAGGCCAAGCGGATCCAGAAGATTACTATGTGAAACAAGATAGAATAGGAAAGAATATTATTACTTGTTTGATGACTACTGGATAACATTTATTTGACTATATACGTGCTTCAAGTATGAATATCTCTATATTTACGTTTTGTTTAAATTATGTACACAATTAACAGGCAAAGGATCATTCGGTGAAGTATTTAAAGGGTGAATTGTCAGTTTCAATTCTGATCTCTATTAGCTCAAATTCTTTTAATAATATTTTTTTTTTTAACGTGAACAGGTTTGATAAGAGGACTAAAATACCTGTGGCTATCAAGATCATAGATCTTGAACATGCTGAAGATGAGATTGAAGATATTCAGCAAGAAATAGCCATTCTTTCACAATTGGATTCACAGTATGTAACTAGGTAATCACTTTAAATAACTATCCCAATACATTACAATGACTTATTTCATGTAGTAACTGATATATTTAATGTCTGTTGTAAATGATTTAGATATTATGGTTCATTCCTTAAGGGATCCCATTTATGGATTGTCATGGAATATTGTTCAGGAGGGTCTTGCTCTGATTTAGTAAGTGAATAATAGTACTTTTTTTTTTTTAGATATCTATTATTTTTATGATTCTTATTATTTTGTTCCGTTAAAGATGAAGCCTGGTGTTTTTAGAGAAGAGTACATAGCAATTATATTGCGGGAGCTATTAAAAGGATTGGACTATCTGCATGCTGAAAACAAACTTCACAGAGGTTAGCATCCAGATCGATTTATTGATACATACTTTACTTTAATGTTTATTTATTCGGTTATTGCTATAATTTTTTATTTATTATATTTTTATAGATATAAAAGGTTGGGAATAGTTATAAAGGCCACCATATTGGAAATTTTGTTATCAAAGGTTATTTAGGTCATTAATGAATATTTTAGCTGACATGACGATGTGATCATTTATAGCGGCAAATATTCTCTTAAGCTCCACCGGCGATGGTACATATTGGTTTTACCACTTAGATATACTTTTAATTAATATGTCAGTTCTATTGTTCATTATAATAATATGTTTAACTTTATCCTGTAGTGAAATTAGCAGATTTTGGTGTTTCTGAACAGGTCGATATAATATGATCTTTAT